GTCTGCTGTCCTGCACTGTACAGTCTAGAAGATATTTTCAGCTCTAAAATTCAGTGATTGGGAATGCCAAGTATGTTATGTGCCGTCTTTGCAATAAAAGCAACAATAAGATTTTATATGTAAGATATTAAAACATTATTTTTAGTGTTTTTGGAGAATGTGAATATGTTTGCTAACCATTTCTCCTAAAGGTCCTGTGATTTATATATTAGTCATAGTATTTTTTACATTGTGTGCTAAGTGCAACATGGTATGTTGATACAAGCAGCATATAGAAATAATAGCACTATTTGGCCATGGAAAACTCAAGTTGGCATAATGAGTATAATTTTTTATAGATCGTAGTTTATTTTTATTTTTATTTTTTTATTATAAATTAATTTTTATTGGTGTTCAATTTACCAACATACAGAATAACACCCAGTGCTCATCCCGTCAAGTGTCCCCCTCCGTGCCCGTCACCCATTCACCCCCACCCCCCGCCCTCCTCCCCTTCCACCACCCCTAGTTCATTTCCCAGAGTTAGAAGTCTTTATGTTCTGTGTCCCTTTCTGATATCTCCCACACATTTCTTCTCCCTTCCCTTATATTCCCCTTCACTATTATTCATATTCCCCAAATGAGTGAGAACATACACTGTTTGTCCTTCTCCGATTGACTTACTTCACTCAGCATAATACCCTCCAGTTCCATCCACGTTGAAGCAAATGGTGGGTATTTGTTGTTTCTAATGGCTGAGTAATATTCCATTGTATACATAAACCACATCTTCTTTATCCATTCATCTTTCGATGGGCACCGAGGCTCTTTCCACATTTTGGCTATTGTGGACATGGCTGCTAGAAACATCGGGGTGCAGGTGCCCCGGCGTTTCATTGCATCTGAATCTTCGGGGTAAATCCCTAACAGTGCAATTGCTGGGTCGTAGGGCAGGTCTATTTTTAATTCTTTGAGGAACCTCCACACAGTTTTCCAGAGTGGCTGCACCAGTTCACATTCCCACCAACAGTGTAAGAGGGTTCCCTTTTCTCCGCATCCTCTCCAACATTTGTTGTTTCCTGCCTTGTTAATTTTCCCCATTCTCACTGGTGTGAGGTGGTATCTCATTGTGGTTTTGATTTGTATTTCCCTGATGGCAAGTGATGCAGAGCATTTTCTCATGTGCATGTTGGCCATGTCTATGTCTTCCTCTGTGAGATTTCTCTTCATGTCTTTTGCCCATTTCATGATTGGATTGTTTGTTTCTTTGGTGTTGAGTTTAATAAGTTCTTTATAGATTTTGGAAACTAGCCCTTTATCTGATATGTTATTTGCAAATATCTTCTCCCATTCTGTAGGTTGTCTTTGAGTTTTGTTGACTGTATCCTTTGCTGTGCAAAAGCTTCTTATCTTGATGAAGTCCCAATAGTTCATTTTTGCTTTTGTTTCTTTTGTTTTCGTGGATGTATCTTGCAAGAAGTTACTGTGGCCAAGTTCAAAAAGGGTGTTGCCTGTGTTCTCCTCTAGGATTTTGATGGAGTCTTGTCTCACATTTAAATCTTTCATCCATTTTGAGTTTATCTTTGTGTATGGTGCAAGAGAGTGGTCTAGTTTCATTCTTCTGCATGTGGATGACCAATTTTCCCAGCACCATTTATTGAAGAGACTGTCTTTCTTCCAGTGGATCGTCTTTCCTCCTTTGTCGAATATTAGTTGACCATAAAGTTCAGGGTCCATTTCTGGATTCTCTATTCTGTTCCATTGGTCTATGTGTCTGTTTTTGTGCCAGTACCACACTGTCTTGATGACCACAGCTTTGTAGTACAACCTGAAATCTGGCATTGTGATGCCCCCAGCTATGGTTTTCTTTTTTAAAATTCCCCTGGCTATTCGGGGTCTTTTCTGATTCCACACAAATCTTAAAATAATTTGTTCTAAGTCTCTGAAAAAAGTCCATGGTATTTTGATAGGGATTGCATTGAACGTGTAAATTGCCCTGGGTAGCATTGACATTTTCACAATATTAATTCTGCCAATCCATGAGCATGGAATATTTTTCCATCTCTTTGTGTCTTCCTCAATTTCTTTCAGAAGTGTTCTATAGTTTTTAGGGTATAGATCCTTTACCTCTTTGGTTAGGTTTATTCCTAGGTATCTTATGCTTTTGGGTGCAATTGTAAATGGGATTGACTCCTTAATTTCTCTTTCTTCAGTCTCATTGTTAGTGTATAGGAATGCCATTGATTTCTGGGCATTGATTTTGTATCCTGCCACGCTACCAAATTGCTGTATGAGTTCTAGCAATCTTGGGGTGGAGGCTTTTGGGTTTTCTATGTAGAGTATCATGTCATCGGCGAAGAGGGAGAGTTTGACTTCTTCTTTGCCAATTTGAATGCCTTTAATGTCTTTTTGTTGTCTGATTGCTGAGGCTAGGACTTCCAATACTATGTTGAATAGCAGTGGTGAGAGTGGACATCCCTGTCTGGTTCCTGATCTTAGGGGAAAGGCTCCCAGTGCTTCCCCATTGAGAATGATATTTGCTGTGGGCTTTTCGTAGATGGCTTTTAAGATATCGAGGAAAGTTCCCTCTATCCCTACACTCTGAAGAGTTTTGATCAGGAATGGATGCTGTATTTTGTCAAATGCTTTCTCTGCATCTAATGAGAGGATCATATGGTTCTTGGTTTTTCTCTTGCTGATATGATGAATCACATTGATTGTTTTACGAGTGTTGAACCAGCCTTGCATCCCGGGGATAAATCCTACTTGGTCATGGTGAATAATTTTCTTAATGTGTTGTTGGATCCTATTGGCTAGTATCTTGTTGAGAATTTTTGCATCCATGTTCATCAGGGATATTGGTCTGTAATTCTCCTTTTTGGTGGGGTCTTTGTCTGGTTTTGGAATTAAGGTGATGCTGGCCTCATAGAATGAGTTTGGAAGTACTCCATCTCTTTCTATCTTTCCAAACAGCTTTAGTAGAATAGGTATGATTTCTTCTTTAAACGTTTGATAGAATTCCCCTGGGAAGCCATCTGGCCCTGGACTCTTGTGTCTTGGGAGGTTTTTGATGACTGCTTCAATTTCCTCCCTGGTTATTGGCCTGTTCAGGTTTTCTATTTCTTCCTGCTCCAGTTTTGGTAGTTTGTGGCTTTCCAGGAATGCGTCCATTTCTTCTAGATTGCCTAATTTATTGGCGTAGAGCTGTTCATAATATGTTTTTAAAATCGTTTGTATTTCCTTGGTGTTGGTAGTGATCTCTCCTTTCTCATTCATGATTTTATTAATTTGAGTCTTCTCTCTCTTCTTTTTAATAAGGTTGGCTAATGGTTTATCTATCTTATTAATTCTTTCAAAGAACCAACTCCTGGTTCTATTGATCTGTTCCACAGTTCTTCTGGTCTCAATTTCGTTGAGTTCTGCTCGAATTTTAATTAACTCTCTTCTTCTGCTGGGCGTCGGGTCGATTTGCTGCTTCTTCTCTAGCTCCTTTATGTGTAAGGTTAGCTTTTGTATTTGAGTTCTTTCCAGTTTTTGAATGGATGCTTGTATTGCGATGTATTTCCCCCTCTTTTTTGAAGCCAGGAAGGGCATCTGTAAAAGTTGGCTGCCTGCATTGCAACCATGCAAAATGCCAAGGAGAGTGATTTATGTCCCATTTGCTGAGACTAAGGAGGAAATACACCCAGATTTTAGTAACGAAAGGTCAAGACAGTGAAACATTTTCATTACACTCTTTTCAAAAAATCTAGGCCAAAGATACGCAGTTTCCACAATTTATAAATTTCTACTTCCTGTGGCACTTTTTGCTCTAAGATCCAAATTGTGATAGCTATTTAACTGTAATATCCCTTTTTTTTCTTTAAAATGTTCATTTCAGTGCTTCTATTTGTTTCTCAAGGGTAAAAAGGTAGGCTACATCTCTTTTCTTTAACCTATCCCTATTTTGTTAAGTAAAATCATTAATTACGTAAAGTGTTTTTTAATCGGGTGATTATATACAGTCAGGACACACAGCATGGATAGTCACTGGACTTAAGAATTGGAAGTTTTAAAGTCAGAAAGAAACACGTAAATCTTTCAGGAGTCAACTCCCTTCTCTTTACAAAATTGTAAACTTGTGCCTCCAAGTTAGACTACTTGCTGAAATTTCCCATTAAGGAAATAAAAAGGGAGTAATAGAAACGATTGACTTTTCCATATTACTACATTGCTTCTAATTTTGATGACATTTGCTAACATAGAAGCTGGAAATACACGAGTTAATGGCTAGTGATCAGTCCATTTTTATCTGAGTTTGAGTTTCTTTATTTGTCCATGTTCTCAGGAATTATTTCTCACTACTTAACTCCTAACATCACTGTGCTAGGTCCCATGAAAGACACAGATAAACAAGACAGTTTTAAAGACCCTGTCCTTTTAAAGAAAGAACGTCTGAAGTTTTGATAATTCACTCAAAAATCAACCATCAAATGTAGTCATTTGAGTAATTTATGTGTTTATCATCGTTCTATTTTTGTAGTTTCTGAACACGCAAGAGAAAAGGATAAAGGAGGTTCTACTGTGTCGTGCAATCTAGTGGACAAGAGAACACATGTACAGTCATGCACGTGCCTGCATTTTAATTCTTAATTGGATGATCTTTTTTAGCTGGAAGAACAGAGCTAACAAGAAAACAAAATGATATGTACATGGACACATCATGGTCATAGTCATGGAATGTCCAGTTGACATCAAGATTCATACTTCGTGTCACACATTCTATAGATTTGGATAAATGCGTAGACGTGTATCCACCATGGTATCATATAGAGCATTTTTCACTGCTTTAAAAATTCTCTGTGCTCTGTCTGTGCATTCCCAATCCCCTAACCCCAGCGACCGTTGCTCTTTTTATTATCTCCATACTTTAGCCTTCCCTAGAATGCCAAAGAGTTGGATTTATACAGCAAGGAGTCTTTTCGGCTTGGCTTCTCTCACTTAGTGATCTGCAGTTAAGCTTCCTCCATGTCTTTTCATAGGTTGACAGCTCATTCCCTTTAGCACTGAATAATCCTCCATCGTCTGGAATCCATGCACGTGATAAAGGACAACTTGGGTGCTTCCAGATTTTGGCAATTACGAGTAAAGCTGCTATAAACATCTGTAGGTAGGTTGTTATGCAGATGTAAGTGTTCGGTCCTTCTGGGTAAACACCAGGAAGCACAATTGCTAGATCTTCTGGAAAGAGAAGGTTTAGTTTTGTCAGAAACCACAAATTATACTCCACGGTGACTGTGCCATCTTATATTCTGCTCCAGAAATGAGTGAGAGTTCCTGTTGCTCTATATCCTCGGCAGCATTTGGTCTTGTGAGTGTTCTGGAATTTTGACATTCTAATAGGTGTATTGTAATACCTCGATGTTATTTTAATTTGCATTTTCCTGATGACGAAGGATGTGGAGCATCTTTCCATATGCTTATTTGCTATCTATATATCTTCTTTGGTGAAGTATCTGTTAAGGTCTTTGACCCAATTTGTAATTGGATTGTTTGCTTTCTCAGTGTTCCTGTAGAGATTGCTACACTTCCAAATATTGTGCTTCCTTTTGTCTTGTAAAATAGATATATATTTTTTTCAATATTTATACCATCTAAATAAATACTGGGAGAAATGTTCTGTTACCAGAATGTTCATCAAGAAACAATCATTAGGGTTTGTTGGTCAGTGCCATCTTAAGTAAGAAACACTCCTGTAACTATAGAGTATAAAATAAACAATAATGGTTAAACTTAAGTCGACAATGTTTCCAATATCAAAATACGCTTTAATTTTAGAATGGGAGATAAAGGAGACATGTGGGTTGTGGTAAAGTAAATGAGAAACAGAGTGGGAAGAATAAAATTATGAGGTAGAAAAAGACCAGAAAGAAGATAATGAGTCACACACTTAGAGGATGTTTATTTGGGAAAATTATTCATAATAACACCTTGTTCTTCACTAGGCTATGGGCTTAGTGCCATCCCTTAACTTCGAAATGATAATTATTTGAATATTCATTATTTATAGTTATCCAGTGCTTCATCTTTAAACCTTCAAAATTTATTCTGAAGAGTATGGTCTACTGTGCCTAGGTAGGAGAAAAAGGATTAGAGCAATATTGCTCTTAATGTAGAAAAATTGATACTAAAGCAGTATTTGAATTTTGTAATAGGGATTCCTTCTTCCTACAGAAGATATTTCAAAAAACACTAATGAGACAACATGTTATTATTCAAAAATGAAAGCAATAATTTATGTATATCTTTCATGTAATCTAATTATTCAAATGAAGTCCCTTATAGATTTCCATATACAGCTATTGGTTAAGTTTTTTGGAACATATTTCTTTTCAATGGAAAGCCATGTAATACCATGATAAGCATTAAAATTAAATTTCATTTTACTCTTTATGTCCATGGCCACAACTTCTCACATATATGTATTTATACTGATTAAATAATATATACCGTGTAAACAGTTTTGCATGTAAAAAATAGCTTATTTTTTTGTATATTTTTCACCTTCACCTGTAGGAAGAGTATAGTCTTTTCAGAAGCCATTTCATATGGAGCAGATGGGACAATTAGGGTGAATTATTTTGTCTGGGACAATTAAGGTGAATTGTTGTGTCTGAATTTTCATTTCACCTTGATGGAAACATGGTTGTCTCTATCCTATTAGTTAAGTGTTATTTTTTCTTAGTTACAGCTACTTCTATGTAAAGTGTTTTTATTTTTATAGGATACTAATTTAACCTGAGATTTCAGTATGGCTTCAAATAATAAATTTAAACTTTGGCCCCCAAACCAAAATTTCAGGAAGTATTGTTTATTATGTTTTTGAAATTAGATATGGAAAAGTACCAGGAAAGGAAATAATTTGTCATGTCATTTTTAGTTATGTGAATAATTTCTCTCAAAGACACCAAAATACCTTTAAATTTTGGAATTGAACATGAGAAACATCTTGACACATTCTAAACAAGTACACAATAATTTGAATGTCAGACTTAATCATTTATTAGTTATGTAATCTTGAGTTTGTTACTATTGCTCTCTGGGTATCAGTTTTTCGACCTGTAATGTTGGGATAACAAAGGCTACTTGATGGAGTTCATTGTTGTAAGATAATGTAGGTAAATTACATATAGCTCCTGATATAATTAATAAACATAGTAGTTTTCTCTGCACATGATTAAAATACAGAAACTTGTTATAACGCAAGATGAAGAGCCTAAAATAGTCTAATGAATCCAGTGCTATACCCATCTAATAGCTGGCCAAATAATTATTTTGATGATTAAGCTTATACAGATATAAGCAATTTTGAGCAGTTTCAATATAGTGAGCAATAAAAAGGAAACAGTTGTCCCAATCATTGCTTTCAACTGTGCTTTGTGTACTTTTGTTTTTGCAAAGACTCTATGTTCAGTTATAATAAAAAATGATTTAAAACTAAACTCAATGTTAATTATAGCTCATCTAATCCCTAAACTTGACCCTTGGCTCAAGGGACCTGCATACTAGGACCATAATCTATTTTCCCCTCCTTTTCCCATTGCAGAATCTTGATATGAAAAAAAAAAAAGTGTGGTATTCAGTGGATGGGAATTTGCCTCCAGTATCAACATGCCCCTCCCCAAATAGGCTCTGGCTCAGCCGTTCTTGAAGGGTGGTCACACTTAAAAAGCATTAGAGAAACATGGGCAGTTTTTATCAGCTATCACGTGATTGTTGGGCACCACTGGCAGTTGTTAGGAGGATGGCAATATTCTGCCATGTATGACATACTCCTATGACATTTCTCCTACAAATACATATCAGCAGTTCTTTAGCACAAATAATATTGAAAAGTTTTATAAGAAGGTGAATAAAAATCCTAATAATTTTGAGGCGCACAGATGGGGCAGTCAGTTAAGTATGTGACTCTTGGTTGTAGCTCAGGTTATGATCTCAGAGTCATGAGAAAAAGTTCCACATCAGCTCTATACTCAGAGTCTGCTTAAGATTCTCTCTTTTGGGATGCCTGGGTAGCTCAGTGGTTAAGTGTCCACCTTCAGCTTAGGGCATGATCCCAGGGTCCTGGGATCGAGTCCCATGTCGGGCTCCCTGCTTGGAGCCTGCTTCTCCCTCTGCCTGTGTCTCTGCCTCTCTCTCTCTCTTTCTGTGTCTGTCATGAATAAATAAATAAAATATTTTTAAAAATTAAAAAAAAATTCCCTCTCTCCCCACCCACCTCAAATTGGTAAACATATCTTTAAAATACTAATAATTAAAAAAATAAAATAAATAAAATAAAATACTAATAATTTAGGGAAAGTTATATACGGTTGGAAATTTAAATATTAGAAAAATATTTTTTATATTATTGAACATCATTTGTATCATACCTTTTGCCTATATACTGAGATATTGGTACTGAGTTAATAATGTCACCTTTGTGTAATATATTTTTTAATAGCATTAGTGGTACATTATAGGATGCCATAGTGTCCCTTGAAGTTTTTTTTGATAATACTAATAAAGCAAACTATGACCTATAAACTAGTTTTGAAAATCTAACAACTATAATGGTAACTTATTTTACTAATCATTTTCAAGATATGTTTTATGATTTTATTTATTCATGAGAGACAGAGAGAGAGAGAGAGAGAGAGAGAGAGAGGCAGAGACACAGGCAGAGGGAGAAGAAGGCTCCATGCAGGGAGCCCGACATGGGACTCAATCCCAGGACCCCAGGATCACAATCTGAGCTGAAGACATATGCTCAGCCGCTGAGCCACCCAGGCATCCCTCATTTTCAGAATCTTAACAAAATTCTTCCATGTTAGGGCACCTGGGTGGCTCAGTCTGCTAAGGGCTGACTCATGGTTTTGGCTCAGGTCATGATCCCGGTGTCCTGGGACTGAGCCCTGTGTCAGGCTGTGCACTCAGCAGAGACTCTGTTGGAGAGTCTCTCTCTCTCCCTTTCCTTTTGTACCTCCCCCTGCATGCTCTCACTCTCAAATAAATAAATAAATCTTTAAAATAAATTTTAAGAAATTCTTCCATGTTGAACATGTAGTTTTCTCAACATTTTTTTTGCAAAAAAATAGAAACTCATTTCATGATGAAACTAGCAAATTAAATTATTATAAACTATTTGTAATAAGGTTTAGCATTGGGTATCATATTCCTGATTCTTCCAGTATTGAAAGTTTAAGGGTAAAAGAAAAAAAAATAATATCCATCATGGCTGCATGCAATCTTTGTGCATTGTTTCTCTTTCGTAAGCTATCACTATTTTGTTGTCACATATTTCTCTTATATACTGCTGAGGAAAAAAAAGAAAGGAAAAAAAAACTAAACTAAAAAATAAAGTAAAACTCAGTGTCCTAAAACAATAATTTTAGTATTATTTTGCCTACCATTCCTTTTGACTAAGAATTTGAACAGACTACACGAGGATGGATCTTATTTAATTTGTTGGTGTTCTGGCCTAAAATGAACGAGCTCAAATGACTAGTAATTGCTAAGATGACTCAATCAGTGCCATGTATCTGGAAACTTGGCTCCAGTGTTCGCTGAGTACCTTTTCTTCTCCATGTGACATCTACTGGTGCTGGGAAGTTCAAGACGACTTCTTTATTCATTTATCTGACACTTCTCCTGAAATAACTGGAACCGCTGTGGCAAGGAGTCTCTGTCTTGCTATATGTCCTCTCCGAGATGTCTAACTCAGTCATTCTCACAGCATAGCTGACCTATCGTGGTTCATCTTCCTATGTGGCTCTGACATCCCCAGAGTAATTCCAAGAGACCAAGGTAGGACTTACACTCAGGTTATTCAGAGTCACTTCTGCTACATTCTGTTGGTTACCGAGGATTTCGATGAGGAAAGGAACCAGGGCATGAGAAGCAAGAGATATGGTTTATTGAGATTGGAGAGGAAAGGTGTGAGAGGGGGAGTGCGTATCTTTGAAATTAGCTACTTACCACATGTACACCCCCTCTGTTCTGGCTGGTGGGGTAAATTAGTGTGTTCTTTCAATTGCCTTGTTTGACCTCTTTTCCATTCAGAAATTCTACTACGAACTGTCTTCCACCAACAGTATGCTCCTTAGCATCTTACTTTTTATAAAATC